GTATGTATGTATGTATGTATGTATGTATGTATGTATGTATGTGTGTAAATATGCATGCATGTACGGATTAAATACGTACGTATGTTTGTTGATACGTATGTATAAACAAATACTTCGACACAGCTGCACGGTTTAAGCAATAAGAACAGGGTGAAGGCAATGAGGTAAGAAACTGGAAATATATAGTTAATTGGAGATGGGTAGAAGAGGTCGAGGTCATTTTCTACTTATGTATAAGAAGTGTGTAAGCAGGCTATGAGTAATACAGACACTTAGATGGATTATCGGGAACAGGAATCAATAGCTGTTTTGCAAATAGAGGCAGGAAGTCATGAAGAAAATATGGACGCAGGAGAAAATGGCTGCAGATAGATTAAGCAATGAGTGTGTGATAAGTCTCTATATACATCGACAGGGACCGACTACACATAAAGGTCAATAATAGACTGGCTGGAAAAGAAGACTTTGACATACAATGTTCAATATTTTATCTCAGGCTGCATCAGTCTGTCCACTGTAGCTAATCAGCTGTACAGTTTCATGACTCCGGGCATAGGTATTATATAGACCGAACTACTTACGATACACCATTCTAAGTTCACAGACGATAGCTTGCAAGCTCAACTTCAAGGCAACATATTTACTCGAAACAGAAAACAGACATAATCAGGCTTCTGTCTTGACATTCACACATAGCCATGCATTCATGGCTGTTGCAGACTGCTTGGACATACAGTCTTCAGACGTTCCCGTATTCACTCTTTACATGCTCAAAACACAGAATGAAGTTCGTTTCTTTCCTACTTGTTTTTTTTTTATAAGTTCACTTCGCACGCAAAATACTTACACTTTTTACATCTTGTCGAATTTTTTTTTTGCGAATCCTGTTAATCCCGTGGCAATCTTAAAGGCCCATGCTTTTCTAGACCTGTCTCCTTCGCTAAATGGATGTTTATCTTCCTACGGTAAAACGACTTTCGTTACGGTATACCATGGATTATTTCAACAACAACAACAACAACACACAAAAAACAGGTCAATACTTGTGTTGGCAACAATGCCCCCAAAATCTCATGCACTTATAGTCATGCTAGATACACATCACCAGGATTCAATGACTTCCTAAAACAATGAACCAGGAGAGGCGGAAAGTGGACAACAATTACCTTTTAAATAATATTTTAAGATACAGTTTATTCTTTATTTTCCCTTAAAAACAGAAACGTAGAGGAAAAAAGAATATGTATACATATGTTTTGCTTATTTAAAATAAGAAAATTAGAAGTCTTATGTCAGATTTGCCTTGGTATAGCGCCTTTGTTTGTAACTAGTTATGGTGCATTCTATTTTACATAAATCATCATGGAGTTGTAGACTGGTGCAAAAAGAGGCAACCGAAAAATCTTATATATGAAAACAATATAGAATAACAAAAATGCAATAACTTTACAACCATTCAACATACACTTATCATATATTTTTTTTTTTTCACCAAATTAAACGGAGAACAAACTGTAAGAAAAAAAATGGGTTCATTTTGTTTGACATCATCATCATGTTGCTGTAGATATGGGTTAAAAAAAAAGGCAACCTTAAAATCTTCTACCTGTCAACAATACAGACTAAATTTCATGACAAATAAAGAATACAACTGTATTGTTTTATCAATATAGTAAATGGTGTGCAATTCAATATCTTCTTCTTCTTCTTCTTCTCTTCCACTTGTACCTCATCGAAGTGTCGGGGGGAGATGTAATGTTCGTTTATGGGCTCTGTCAAGAGCACTATTAGGACTGAAGTTCATTTCTGTAAGGCTGTTCTTAATGCCATCACTCCATATTTTCCGAGGTCTTCCACTTGCTCTGTACCCGTTGTAACGTTTTAGTGTGGCTCGCTGTGGCGGATAGTACCATGGCATTCTTGTTAGGTGTCCAAACCAATTCATTTGTTGTTCTTTGATGACCTGTAAGACTGGCTTTATTCCTAGCATTCGTCTGATTTCATGATTTCGTATTCTGCCTTTCCTTGGTGTGCACTTTCCTAATAGGGGTACATTATAAGAAAGCCTTGCAAATCTCAATGCTAGTCATCAACATGGGGGGTTTGGGTCGGGGGGGGGGGGGGTTCCGGGGTTATATCTTCCCGGGTCTCGTCAGATAGTGAGGATAATTCTACACCAAAAGCGGCAATGATATCTTAGTCGTGTGCAGGCTCAGACACAATATCTTCACAATCCGCAGGCTCTGAATAAATCCCTCCGCTAGAACTATCAATATCAGAAATTTCAGAACTACTGTTTGCTACCGAAGGTATCTGCGGGTCGAGTCTTAGATAGACTTGATTTTTAAGCGACTTGCCGTTGATGTTTTTGATAGCACTTCATTAGATTTATCAAAGCCAGAGTCATTTAACTGTTCAGTAATATCTCCGCGTTTACTTTCCGAAGTAAAATCAAACTAAGAAAATCATGCGCAGCAACAGAAAAAATCATAAACATGATAGGTAGTTGTAACCCACAAGGACATCACACAAGCGATGAGGATCACCCGCGGAGATGTTATAGAAAAAAAAACCTTTCAGTCGTTAGGCCATATCTATGTCCCGGCTATATTCACTGCCCTAGACAAAAGCCAGGGTGGGGCTTCAAACACCACATGGGGAAGACTTTAAATTATAAATGATAAATATGACCACCACAATCCCTTCGTGGATTTGACGCCATGACAAAAAAATTTGCGTCAATGTAACGGCGTCATGGGAGCTAACAATGAACATTGATTAAAACTTCACTATAGGCACTACGGAGTTGTTTCCCTAAATTAATCATGAGATACAAGTCTATGGGCTGAAGGCTTCAACCACATTCATCACACACATAGCAATTTTAACACGACGGTGAGCGTCCAACGTTACAATCGCATTTGTGCGATCGTGGTAGTCAGTGGGTTAAGGGTAGCTTAGCATCCTTACACATTTTCTAGTATAGCGGAAGCGAAAGGTCTCAGCCCTTGAATGATGAATTTATCTGTGTTAGTACAGGAAATAGATGGCGTTGTTTCCATGTTGTCAGTACTAAGCAGAAACAAATTAGCACACATTAGGGGACATGACATGTTTGGTTTGCATCCCGAAAACTACATGTCACTGACTGCCAAGAGTAATAAAAGAAGTTTCTCAAGAGAAAGATTTTTCTTCTTATTCTTTACGTCCTCCTTTACCGCTTCAAGTGTCGGGGGAGATATGAGGTCCTGCTTCGTAATTTACCGGCTCCTTCGACCAAAGACACATCGTGGTACTGTAGAGTTTCTCTGATGTTATCCTTTCATATTGTTCTTGGTCTACCTCTTGTTCGACGTCCCTCTCCTCTTTGGATATATGCCTTGAATGGTATAGCATCAGAAGTCATTCCCTCCAAGCGGGCAAACCATTTGATTTGCTGTCTTTCTATGTAATTTAGAATTGGTTCTGTGCCGACTTTATCTAGTATGACCTCAGTCCTGATTTTATCTTTTCTGGTCACTCCTACAGTCTTTCTCAGACACCTAATTTCCATAGTTACTATTTTTTTATAAAATGTTTTGTTGTGAGTGACCACGTCTGGCATTGGTAGCATTGGATGGTAATGAATATGCTTTTATGAGATGTCTCTTTGTGCCGACGAGAATTACCCTTTGTTGTATGAGGGGAGCTAGCTGTCCCAATACTTGCCTACTTTATTCCATCAGATGTCAATTTATCGTCCTATCTTCTATCTTCAGTGAATGTTGTTCAAAGCTATTTATACTCAGATGCCTTTTTAATATATGTATGTTCTAATGATATGTTTAAATCCTGCTTCGTTCTTCCTATTGACATTACTTCTGTGTTTTCGATGTTGATTCTTATGTTATTTGATTTACATTCTTCATTCATGGATGTGAGATGTTGTTGCAAATTCATGGCTGTGACTGCAATCAAGGCCTAAACATCATGATATAATAATTCGTTTCTGTTACTATTATTAACGTATCTGAGCCTGGAATCCTTGCTTATACTGTCAATGTAGGTGATACACAGGAGTGGTGATAAGACACATCCATGTATTACTTCAGATGTTACTTTGAACCATTTAGTTGTTTCCTGGTGTATTCTAACTAAGCTTCTACAGTCATTATATAAACTTTTTCAAACTCCAGTGAGGTGTTCACTTACTCCATATCGAGCCATTACTTTCTTTAAAAAAAAAAGATACAGAACATTAAAAAAAAAAAATACATATGGATGATAGGGGTACGACGACACAAACAAAACACTGGCAATCTGAGTTAATCTTAGCCTAGTGTAACATACAGATCATGCATACATACATATATATATATATATATATATATATATATATATATATATATATATATATATATATATATATATATATATATATATACACACACACACAGACAGACACACAAATACATACATATACATTCATATAATATGTACTAAATGGCAAGAACAAATATATATAATATATATAATAAACAGGCTCTATAAAACAGATAACAGATACGTCAACTAATAGTTAAATGTTTATCATATTTAACCAGTTAAAGGGAGCGATTACTTCCCTTACATTTTCTTTCCTTTTTTTTTTTTCTTTTTCTATTGGGTGTAGGAGGCCTTAAGCCTTTCATCTTCCTAACGTGAGGTTTTTTTAAAGGGAAAAAATGGGGCGGGGGCCTCAGGGGCCTGAGACACAGGTTTCTGCGCCGATGGGATTTTCCAGTATTAATTGTTAGAGAATATAATAATAATAAGAAAAACTGATGAAACTGGTGATAGTTGGAAAGAGGCACAGGCAGACGGAGAAAGATGATGCTGAATGCTCTAAGACGATTGTTTGGATGCATATCATGGATGGAATTTATCCAGAACATCAAAGCTGGAGATTAGTAGATGGATATGGACGCCAACGCAATCAGCACTTCCAGATACAGTTCATGACAAACAAAGTCCTAATGTGGCTAACGTTTCGTAGTATACCGCATTATACTCTTCCAGATGTATTCCAGCATTTTCACCCAACCAGAAGCGGGGACACCCCTGTGACCACGAACCGTGGGAAATGGGTTGGATTCATTTTGGACCATTTCCCAATCGTTAACAGGCGGTGTATAACCCATGTTTCCTGATCCAGTTCCCATACCTCTAGCATATTCATGAGACAATAAACCCTGTTCACAGCAGCCATATGTTGATAAGGGAAACGTTGACTTAGGATAAGTTGGTGAAGAATTGCTTTTGAATAGGGGAGTTGTAAGACTCATATTGTCTTCCACTAGACTTTTCTTTCTCATTTTGGAGCGTATTTCAGTCTCCAGAAGTTGCATTGAAATTATCAACTCCCTGAGTTTTGGAGAACTCATTCCTAGTTCACGAAGGATCACTTGCTGATCTGTCAGATCTTGCAACAAAAAGTCCATGTGCTGAAGCGAACTATCTTCAGACAAATCCTGTATGCCACTCCTGGTATTATCAATGATTTTCTGCGTCTGTTCCTCAAGATCGTGAATCAACCTCTCTGTACCTATTTCTTTATTCAGACTTGTTTGTGCCTTCAGAAACTCTTCCTTTGAGTAGGGCTTCGTTGGATTTACCATTTTCAGAAATGCCAGTCTTTGTGCATTCTTCGTGTTCTCATCTTTTGTCCTATTATTAAAAAGGACACACCTGAAGTTACACTCCTCAAACAAAGCCTTAACTTCTCCACTTTGTTCACGACACCAGCCTTCAAACGTTAACAACTGCCCATCTTCCCTAGCCTCTTCGACTGCATGTTCAAAATTATCCCCATAGGATATAGCGCAGATGCCGTAATCTTTGATAACGTTCTCCCCAAGGACAGATTTAACTAGTTTAATTGTGTTCACTTCTTGTTTCGTGAACCGAACCCCAAATCTGAGAACAATTACGATAGCGGAAAAAGCATAGTCGCAAAGAGTCAAAGACTTTTCCATGGCGATGACAATTTGCTCTATAAAGTCCTCATCAGCGTCTTTAGCGTCAAGTATGCTTGGGCCGTCTACAACTTGGACAGTCTGGTCTCCCACTTGTGCACTGTCCATAGCAATGCATGGAGTCGGACTTTTCACCGAAGAGCTTGTTCTAAACACGTCTTTTCCTAAGATGGAGTTCCCGATAGAGCTTTTACCGTTGCCAGAGCTACCAAGCAGAAGAACACACAACCTCCGTGGACTGTCAGCTTCTAATGTATTCTGTGGAGTAGGATGAATAAAGAAATCCCACTAAAGAATGGTTCAACTGGATAAGGACATTGAGAAACAGGGCATAAACTCACATAAAACAGACACATATGACAGAGACACATACGACACAGACACACAGGGCAGGGACAGAAACCTACGACTCTTGGAGATGGCTAGATGGATGCTTGGATGAGAAGTAGGCAACTATCAGTCCTCGGGAACAAAGGAGTAGTGCCGCTAGTTCTGTGAGCAACGATAACTATGACTGTAAAGTCCAATGCAGGAGTGGCCGTCTCTGCCATATGCTCCACATAAAAACGTTGATACGCTGTCCTTTTGAGGATTTCAAGCTGTACGATAGACATGGCCAATGAGACACCTTTTTTTGGGGGTGCCTAGTTGACCATGTATCTTAGTGCACTTGTATTCATGGCGAGGCGCAGATGCCGTCTGGAGGTGACAGGTTCAATTCCCGGCACGGTAACTATAGCTTTCGATTTTTATGTTGTCTAGTGTGTTCTTCTATCTTTCTACTTCTTTCTATGAGTGCCGTTCACAATACTTTCTGTTACTTGATTAATCCTTTTGAGGCTGGATTTCTTTCAGATGTCTCCCATCTATGGCTCGCTGCGTTAGGCCTCTTTCAAACTGGGATACTCCCGCTAGAAGGTCATGGGAGTGAAAGGAAGGCTAGATGAATGAGCGGATAGTGGATAAATGGAAGTGTGAAATGATGGCTAGTTGGGTAGATTAGTAACCTGGGTAACACTGACAAAACTGCCATAGCTGGGTGTAATTACCACTTTTGACCTGATAAACAGATGGATTAATTCTCCTAAATCTTCAAATTTATCGATGGCTAGAAAATGAGTGAGTGAGAGTTGACTCTACGGAAAAATGGAACGATGGATCAGTCTTCTTCTTCTCTTACTCCAGGTACCTCATCTAGGTCGTTATGGGACATTAAGGTTCTTCTATGTGTTCATTCAAATGCGTTAAATAAACTAATATTCATTTCATTAAAGACGTCATTCCATGTTTTACTTAGTTTTCTATTGCTCTATGTTAATTCCTCCCACCCTCTTTTATTGAGTGATTCTCTGTAATTGCGGGTACTAGGCATACTCGTCAGGTGGCCAAACCGTGGATAGATATCTAGGTAAATTTACTAAGGGATGGATAGCAGTAAGAGTAATTATTTGGCTGGATTATGAGATGGCTAGGTAGACAGATGGATAAATAATAATGACTGGCTGGACTGATAAGTTTGTCGAGAGGTGGATGAATTGTTGATAGATATACTACTAGTGAATGGATGGATGGATTGATGGATAGTTGGCAAAATGCATTGATCTCTAAATGAACTTATGAAAAAGTGGGTATAAAAATGGATGGGTGAAAAAATTAACTGATGAATGGCTACATTGCTTGACAAATATATAAATATATTAATGCATATTTATCTACCGGTAGGTAGATCGCCTTGTGTGTTGTTCGTCCATCACGAGCGATGAAGACCACTTTTCATCCAAAGTAGTAAAGATCAAGGATTATGAGTACGAAGGTGGCCGATTTGTCCAACATGCGCCTGGAAAGTTCACGAACAGATGGAAGCTCCAGTAAGTGTGGGATTAGCAATGCTGTTCTGTTTCGTCTGCCTCCGTTTCTCTGCCTGTTCAAACTTCGCTGCCTGGCAGGTTGATGTACCATGCCTGATGGATGTACGCCAACTAGAAGGGTCTTGTGCAGCAGTCTCCCACGTCACTGTGCCAAAAGAATTGAGATAATTTTTTAATAGTGTCCTTATAGCGATAGTTCTGTTCTACCTGGGACCTCTTCCATCGCCATACAATACTCTCTTTGTGAGGTGATAGTTAGGCATGCGGATTAGGTGACCAGCCCAGCGCAGCTGATAATTCTTCAGTATCGTATGGCTGCTAGGCAGGTTTGCCCTATCGAAAACCACAGTATTGGGATCCTATCTTGCTATTTGATTTTGAGCAGCTTTCTGAGACAATTTATACGAAAATGATTCAACTTTTTAGCATGGCGCCAAAACACAGTCCACGTTTCGCAAGCGAAGTTTTGTAGTACTGGAAGAATGACAGCTCTGTAAACTTTTAACGTGGTCAGCAGGAAGACTCCTATAAGAAGACAGCGACTGTATAGCCTGACCCGCTTGCCTGCAGGTATGCGGTTACAGCTGCCATCGTAACCCACGTCTACCGCTTTGTCGCTCGCCCATCGTTCAAGGACTTGAAAATGATTGATGATGATAATGACAACTGGATGAAAGTGACTTGCGCTAGGACTTGGATTTAAGTGAGGAAGAGTTGCGCATTTCGACGACTTAACTCTCTCGCATGTGTCCATCTTGATCCAATGGCGGGACAATAAAGAGAAGATTGAGAGAGAAGTTTTTCACAGAAACCAGAGGTTTCATCCGTACAATCCGCCGAGTCCAGTCTTTGCATGCATGGTAGGCATATCCTAGTCACCAAGTTGTTTAGAACCAGGTCGGCTACCCTCTCCTGGTCTAGCCAGCTCGTCAAAACTGTTGCCCGGGGGGGGGGGGGGGGGGGCGCTGTGGCCTGACATGTAGATCGAGACGCTATTTGGATACACCTATGATAGACGAATGTACAAAAAAACTGTGGAATTAGGTGGCCAGCACTAGACAGCAGCAGAATCTGAGAAATGTGATCACACAGTCGAGAACACTTGACCGAGCGGCTGCAACGTTGACCTCTCATGCAGGAGGCCTGGGTTTGATCCCCGGTAAGGTGATGGCATTTTTTTTTGCGGGGGGGGGGGGGGCAAAATTAAACATCCTAATTTGCACAGCCCGTGGCGACCGTACTAGCCATGACGCCCTAACTCCTGAGGCTCACGACTACCCTGTCTTCACCTCCCCAAACAGTTGTAAGACAGACAGTAGCGACAGTTTTCACAGATCACTAAGTCATCTTCAATTGTTGATCTTGAGACTCGAGGTGTTATGAGACTATAAGAATGACGGAGATGATGCTGGAGATGTTGGTAGCGCTGGTGATGCTGCTGATAATTAGAGTGTCAACAGAAAAGAGAATGCATTACCTGTTCAATGCCTTCCATAGATAGATTGCTACTGTTTAGCGGAGTATGTCCTGATGAACTGTCAGCTCGTGTCTTGATTCTGAAGTCGCTGTATGCTTTTGCACTGATTTCACTTCCAATCCTCACAGCATCCTTCTGGGTTGAAGGGTGTTTCACAGACTAGATGAATAGATAGATGGACAGATAACTGGTCAGCAGATGGATGGATAATTTTTGAATGTATTAGTGATGTGGATAAATGAATGGATATTTGAACAGAGATATACATGGATGATTAGATAGTTGGATAGATGGAAGGATTGTAGATGTTTAGAGAATAGGTATTTTGATGGATCAGTGTGTGTTAGCTATTTGAATGAATGGAAAAATGTATGGATGAATGGAGAAAGAAATAAATGGTTGGATGGATACTTGGCTAGACAAATTTTTAGATGGGTAAAAAGAAGGATGAATATGGATTTAAAAGGTTAAATAATAGATAAGGGGTAATTAGATGTCTATGTGGATAAATAGATGGATGGGTAGATGGTTATTAGATAGTTGGAAATTGAGATGTGACTAGACAGGCAGTGGGATGGGTACCAGGATATATACATGATAGTATGGCTATTTCGAAATGTGAAACAATGACTAGAGGGATAAATCGAAGATTGTGTGATTGGACTGAATGAAATGAGATGGACAGATAAATGGAATATGGATAGTAGGATGTGTGGATAAAAGTGAGCCATACACATAAAAGATTTCCTGTTTTGTGTCTTCTATAGTTCATTTTTCATTGTTGAGATAATCTTCATAGTACATCGGGCATGATCATAGGTGCTCCATTCTCTTCCTGATTATGGCCCCAAGTAATAACTTCCATTCTGTTCTAGTTGATGTAAAGTCGGGTAGCTCCCGCTTGGCTTTCCTGTCTCTAGGCTCCAGTTGGTACACCCACTGTACGCAGTATACTCAGATAAATATCACTTTCCACAAAATTGAAAGCCTCACAGCGTTTAGTCTCTCGTAGTGGCTTCCATAGATTGGTGCTTACGGCTTATGGGAGTAGGTTCATCATACCATTCGTTTGCGCAAATTTCTCTTCCCTTCCACATTGCATCCTGAACGATAGGTGGATGGGTCAAAGACTGGATAACTGGATGAATAGAGTGTTAGATGGATAGATATTGGAGGGATACAGAGGTGGATATAAAGCTAGATGTTTTAGATATGTATATCTAGAAGATGCAGAGTAGGTGTTTAAACACATAGCTAGGTTAGATGAATGGATAGATAGGTAATTGGCTAGATTTTTATATTGTTGTACGGATGGATACATTGCTCATTAGATGCCTATTTTGATGAATATATGGATAGACAGATATGTGGATATGTTGTTGGATGGATATGAAGCATTGCTAACTATAGAGAATGAGTGGGTGTGTGTGGGTAGGTGTATGGAAGAATGAATTGAAAGAATGGATGAAATGATAACATTTATGATGTGTTAAATAATGACAAACTTGCTGAACAGAAAATCAGATGTAATTGAACTGAAAGATAATTATATAGACAGATGGTTTAGCAGATACATGGCAGGATATGTGAATAAATGGACAGATACAGTCATACAGAAGAAAAGACTATATGTTCAGTGAATTCAGTGACTTCCTTATATAGGTGTTCAGTCCTGGCGGGGGGTGAGGGGCTGAGTGGTCTCCAGTTACGGTGTCCGCCTCGAGTGCTAGAGGTCCAGCGTTCAGGCCCCGGTGAAGGCTGTAATTTTTCACGTGGACTTCTAGTAATTTCCCCTGGTCTCTGTGTAGTAAGATCGGACGCCCTTGTGTATTGTTGAACACGTAAAAAAATCCTTGGCTGTTGGAAATCAAAAGAGTAGCCTAATGGCGCTGCTCGGGCAAAAGTGGTAGTTTAAAAATCTACCCACAGTATGTCAAGATCCTCGCCGGTGCTACGGAGCACGTAGGAATAAATGCCTGGATTTAGGATTTGATAAATTGATATACTGAGTAACATAAAAGCAAAAACTGATTACCTGTTCAACGACTTTTATCGCAAGGTGTCCCCTGGTGGCGGGGATATCTTCTAACATCATCTTGACATTTCCACTGCCATATTTTGTCCTTGTACTGCCATCATAGCACTGATCTATTGGGAATTGATTGTCCATGGCCATCTCATTCTCATTCAAGAGAGGTCCGTCTATGACCTTGTGACGCAGCTGCCTTGCTTCGGGTCTTGAAGCCTGACTCTTTCTGTCTTTCATGTGCTGGGGATCTTTATTCAGGAATTCTTCCACATATTTCTGAAGTTTCTTTATCTCTTCATTTCTTCCATTCTCTATCTTCCCCATTTGCTCAGAAATATGTTCTTCAACACATTTCTGAAGTTTTTTTATCTCTTCATTTCTCCCATTCGCAGTCTTTTCTATTTGCTCAGAAACATATTCTTCCATATATTTTTTCATTTTCATCATTTCTTCAATTCTCCCATTCTCAATCTTCTCCATTTGTTTAGAAACATATTTTTCAGTATTCTTCTTTAGTTTCATCACCTCTTCTTTCTCCCCATTCTCAATCTTCTCTATTTGCTCAGAAACATATTCTTCCATATATTTCTTCAGTTTCTTTATCTCTTCATTACCCTCATTCTCGACCTCCCTCATTTCTTCAGAACTATATTCGTAATATTTTTCATCATCCATAGTAGCAGAGGAACTAGCACTGGGAATTGTACCATGTCTGAGTACGGGCTGTTTTTGACGATTTTTGTTCTTCCCCTGCGAATGGTATTCCAACGGAAGGTGCTTCTTCGAACTCATATTGTACAATTTGACTTTCCTATACTAAGGCCAATTAAATACTCTAAAGGCGATCTGAACCTTAGATAACGATAAATCGTTTCTGGCTCATCAGATGGACAAAACTGTCCTGGCTGTTTTGTTAACGACAGCTATTTTCTGGTTCTGTTGTCAGCGACATATTTGCTTTGATTTATAGCAGAGGCGAAATTTGTTCTAGGTCATCCGTTAGCTCAAGGAAGTCTAAAAAAATATATCAAAAGTTATTTTAAAACACATACAATAGTATTTACATTAGGAAATGGCAATGTGAATTTTACTATAATTTTTATGACTTGAAATAAGTTCAGAATATCGTTTAGCATTTATGGCTGCAATTATATCATTCATATTCTATTTAAATCGCGATAGATCACCGAAATCAAGGGAGAAAACATACTGATATAGCTGAGGCATACTGAAAGAATGTGAAATGACAGAGAGCTAAAAACTGTACACACAAGGCAGTTGAATGGTGGTAGACCACGAGGCAGACCAAGAAGACGTTGGAGAGATAATATCCAGACAGACCTACACACACATGGTGTCATCAACTGGAAATAGAAGGCAAACTATATAGATGAATGGAAGCGGGTGATATCTGCAGAAATGTACCTCAAGGCCTCGGCGCGGAAGATCGGGAGAATGATTTGTAACAGTATATCAAGGATATACTTCATAAAATAATTTAGGATTTACTGGGGCCTGGCTTCATAAATCAGGTTGGCCCACCTTCAAAGACTGTTTAGGATTGTAACGGGCTGAAACAATTGTCGACGAAGGACGTTCTACTGACGACCGGTAGACCCCTGCTGTGTTTGTTCCCCTGTGGAGTTTCTTATTATTATTATGACTTCCTATAGCAGCAACACGACCTTATAATATACTATTTACAACTAAAGATAAAAACAGGGAGATCAAACTCAAACCTATACTGTAGTAGGTGTGCTTTTTTACAACAGAGTCCGCTCTGTTGAAAGGCAGGGATATCAGCTTTATTGCGCCTTGTGTTATCCCGTATAAAACGGCCCCCACTGAAAAGATAGCATAAAGAAAAATACTTTTCGGCTCCATGGACAATCCCCAAGATTTGGGATCATTAAAAAAAAGACAGATACAGTGCCCAGGCTTTCATAAAACCAGACCATTAGCAGATTCCGAACTTGATGATGTTATATACTGGGTTATAAAAAGCCATGCGGCCCTCTTTTTAAATTATACCACCTAATTTGAGAAAGCTGCAATATGTTTACGCCATTTAAATATATGGATATTGGAAATATATTACCCTTTTATTTTTGTTAATATAAAAATCAAAGAATGTGTTATTGTCGTTTAATTTTCATTAAAAGAAATAATAAGGAATGTGTTTGCAAAATCACATAAATTATATTTACTCGTCAAAAGGGAATAAAAAACAACCAAAAACATGTTCTCCTCTTGAAATGGGAATCGCTTGAGGCCCTTGCAGATTTTTAGGCCCTAACGCTTATTTAGGTAGGAGGCAAACAACCTACTTCTTTAAGTATCAAGTTTTGTGGCTTTACCTCATTCTTTTTCTTCTGTCCAATTATTTCTCTTCTTCGTTCGCCTTTAAAATTGCATTTGGAGCATCGTGTTGTGTGGCTTATAATCGCGACATCTGCCCCCTTCGGCCCAACACATCCGATTTTCCATAAACTCTTAAGTAGTCCCATTTTACGAAACGCTTTTTTTTCTGGGCAATGTATCATCTATTCATTTTCTTCAAAATAGGTCTCCAGTATCCACTTGTTATCTCAATGAGGCGATTTCTATATGTCGATCTAAAGAACATTTGAGCGCCGCTGTTAATGAGTAGTTAAAAAGGAATCAAGATATCAATGGTTAATCTAACATCCACTTGTGATAAAAGACAACAAGAAGATCATACTGGCTCTGGAATTACTAAGAAACATTCCCCGCGTGGGATCCGCGGCTCCACTGTGTGTGGAACAAAAAAGAATAGACCCACTGCCTTCCCAACAAGCATGTCGTAGGACTCGACTAATTGGGGACTTTCTTCGAACTCGGAGTACGTCTGCCCGAGTGGTAAGGAACAACCAACTGCAATAAATAAGCCAGTAAAACGGATGCACACGCACAACTCTGGCCCTGGCACAATTCTGAAGTCTAAATGGACGAACAACCAGGACTTTCCGCCCAAGCTTACAGTCGGTGAACAAAGAAGAAGACTAAGAAACATCATTGTCAAGGCGGTGCCGTCTCCATAATCAAAGTAGGTTGTAATGGATCTCTAACACACTCTGTCTCGTATCTTGGCTGTAAACTCTCTCAGATTGTTGTCTGTTTATCTCTTGATGATGTCCTTTCACATGTATTGTTTTCTACCTCTTGCTCTCTTGCAATCGACATTACCCTCCAGTATGGTTTAAAAAAAAAAGTCATTTGTCTTTTCATGTGGCCAAAATATTTAAATATTCAACCAAGAAACATTTGGTGATTGGTACAGAAATATTTCACAACACAGAACCTAAAAAAACAAAAACAAAAAACTTGTAAGCACACACTTCTATCAGTAAATACAGCACAAGACGAACCACCTACCGCATCAGACCGCTGCTGTCATAATGGCTGTTTATCTGGAAACCTGTAACCGAAATCTGACACACACCTCGCGGTGTATTTCTAATCGGTTATTTTCATCCGGTAGAAGCCATTTCTGAGAAAAGGGAAGCGTAAACAGAAAGTATTTTACGAGAGAAAGATGTCATAGAGGTCACAGGTGTTACAAGCAGCCATTTTATGAGTCAATAATAAAACAAGCTGTGGACATGAGGGCTTTATGCAGGGAAATGTCAAATTAGGAACGGCTGTTTATTAGTCAAGTTGTTTGACTGCCAGTCCGATTCGTGCAGGTCGTCATAGCCTAACAATTTGAAGTAAAGTAAAAAAGTAAAGCTCCCTTTCTCACTCCATGAGGCGTATAGGGCATATAGGGCTAGACCTATATTGTTATAGTCCAGTCGGCACAAGACGGGTGATGTGGTCATCATCACGCCAGCCGCCTTTAATTCCCGAGACTCCACCCGGTACCCACTCAAGGCTGGGTCGACCTGGAAGTCAAGGACAATTTGAAGTACTCAGCCTCATTTGAGTACCAGCCAACGCACTAAGAAGTAAGTGACTGCGTTTGGGGTTGATCACATTGCCCATCGAGGGTGGACTGGTATATACAAATGATGGTTTAACACTACATATCAAACGCGTCTCCTTCTTCTTTTTCTTCTACTTCTCCTTCTTCTTCTTCTTTCTTCTTCTTCTTCTTCTTCTTCTTCTTCTTCTTCTTCTTCTTCTTATTATTATTATTATTATTATTATTATTATTATTCTTTTTCTTCTCTAGTCCTGTATAGTCTTTCAGCGTCAGGTTTTGAAGAGGCATCGAGCAAGAACTTGAGTATGTGCTAGGTAAAGGCTGGTATCTACGGCCTAGGATATTCCATCTATCCATCGCTCGCTTGGTCGACCTCTGGGTCTGCTTCCATTACGTCTAAGTGACAGGGTTCTTTGTGATGCACTAACTGCTGGTAGTCTTGACCCATGACCAAACCATTTGATCTGTTGTTTCTTGATGTAGTTTCACACTGGTTCTGTCTCAGTTAACGCGTCAAGAGCATGAAAAATGGTCCTTTATCGCTTACACTGTTATCGTTAATACACGATTTCCTTGGGGAGTCCCATTATATGGAAAAATGAAAAGACCCACTATTACTAACGCATATGTGAAAAGTGACCGACTAAAGGTTCGCTGTAATCATCTATGTTAACGAGAAAGGTGAAGACATCTGTCTGTGTCTATCTTTGCTTCCAGATCTCTCACTCATGTTATTCTGAACATGTTCTACAGTTTTTCTCTCACCACACTAGGACTATCTTCGTTATTAGTATTACAAGACTCTGAGTAAAGCATTACTTCAAGTCTTACTTATAAAGCCACCCACTTAAATAAAACTTCAATTATTAATTGACTAAACTTAAGGAGTGACCTACATGTGGGGATAGCAAAAGAGAATACAGTAACTATTATTCTGTATTAAGGCTTAAATACTGGGGATGACTGGATGCGGCCGCTGAAGGCTTTATGGACGACAAACAGACCATTTTTTAACGTGAAAGAACTCGAGCGGTATCCTAGGGGGACTAGATTTGGCATCGACTGGTGCAGAATGAAATTCAAATCTTAGAAGTCAAGTAGTTTTCAATCAAGGAATGTAAAGCGGTGGCGACCAGGGTTGAGTTGATAAGGAAGACAATCCCCACGGTTCTGGGTAAACCGATGAACAACCTTGGTTTGGTTTTCATGCTACCATGTCAGACAAGAAGGCGACCAAGCGAGTACATAAGTCAGTGGTTAGAGGCCTGCTCGATATCCATCAGAGGTTGATATGAAAGTTCAAGGTCTAGAGTCTCCAATTACAGTGATCCTGTGAAGTCTGCTTGTCTGCGAGGTAAGCAAAGACGTAATTAAGTCAGGGGAAAAAACACCAATACATCCGCTGGGAAACGACCTGACTGACGTGATTCTATAATGTAAAGGGGCAAAGCTGGTATTGTCCTTTAAATCGGTCACCGAAGAGTACAACGTCACCAAAGCAAACTCGACTTATATTCTACGAGTCTATAAATCTATCTTAACCCAGCTAATGCCTCAGACGGACGAAAATGGTAGGTGCACGGGATAATCGATTTTGTTCAGGAGTAAGCAAGGTTGAAAGAAATCACGAGGTTTACGCAGACCAACTGGCTCGTTTTCGGTCAAGGGACGGTCCGATGATGGCCCAAGATGTTAGCAAGTGAAGGCGGAGCCATTGTTATAGAGTTAGTTGCGTATCCTTTACAGGACGTCGCAGAACCAACCCTAACAGCCCCTGGCTGTTGTGTGGTTTCTCTTGACAATTTTACGTCCAGTAGTTTGCTATTGCTTTCTGGATGGTCGGCTTTCTTGATACCACTGTCGAATCCAACGCAAGGAGCATTGCCCGCAACTGGGATCGAACCCTGCATCCCGGCATATTGAAGCGAAGCGTTCGCATCGACTTAGCCACAGAGCCGACATTGTTATAGAACAGATTAGAAATAGACAAGGTGAGCTGAAGGTCGAAAAGTATGTCCAGTAGTCAGTGGGTATCATGGGAAAGGTCCTGCAGACGCCCTCATCTGCTAACAGCCTTGTCGCCAACCTGCCTCTGACTCAGTATGGTTCCGGATGCCACACACAGTCGCCCTACTGCATGGAGCTGTTGAGGGTCCGAGTCAACACTAGCCTCAAAGAAGACAGCTATCCTGTATGGCTAAAATCATGCGTCAGGTCAGGTGCTTTCTTTCTCTCCTTGCTGTAGGGGAAAACTTCTGTAAATACCTTCCTCTTTACCTCCACCCACCCCTATTTGGTTCCCAACCCCTTGCCACAATTTCATCCTCTCAGTGGGTAGCTTTTGTGACTTTCTTGGTATATACAAAAGCAATTTCGGCCTTGACCCCTCAGCTTATTACGGATCTTTTTAAACTTTCTTTGGAAAACCTAAACACACCCATGTTGACGGGGTGAACATTTGAATGGGAGTGTCAAGGTCGCACTATATATCCCATGCGTCAATAGCGTGAAAAGGGAACTTTACATAATGCATAACTAGTTCCAAGAATCCGTTTTCTAGAAAATGTATATTCACATTTGTAATGACAACGGTTTAGTTGTGTAATCGATCGTCCAGAAACATTTTATTTTATCCTACGTCATTTATATATTTATATTGTTAGCAACGAAGCTGTAGGTCTGTCAGTTATTTGCTTTCGTTCTGCGATCGGCACGGCTGTGTATAGGTCGGTTTGAACTATTTGATCTACACTTAAGGTAAGTTATATTACTGTAGTATGCACTGGACGTCGTCATTGTCAGAATACCTCGTGTGGGTTTCGGGATCCCATTTTTTTTGGCAGACAAGAATACATCCACTACCTCCACTAACAAGCATGCCGTAAAAGTGCACTAATTAGGGGTTTTTCCTTTGAAGTCTGTCTGAGAGGCGAGGGAATAACAGTCTGCATACAAATAAGCCAGTAGCCAGCTATGTAAAATGACTGCGCACGCACCGAGTTCTTGAACAAGGATAAGTCTGGAGGTGGACGAACAACTAGAACTTTCTGCCGGGGGTTAGAACCGATGAACACAAAGAAGATAAGGAAGAAGATCATCATTTCCTCCTCATCATCAACTTCCTGGGCGTTAAGGGATATGATAAGGATACGTTTGTTGCCTAGTTCAGCGGGTGGGTATAACATGGTTTTTTCATTCCGTGTGGATATTTTTTTATCTTTAACTCTTTGAGCCGTGGATAGTAATTATTTCCTATATCACTTCTAGTTTGTCTTGAATAAATTTAAGAACACCCACCCTAACTATGTTCTTGGTGTAAGCACCCCCTATTGGTAGTATTTGTGACTTTGGTAATGAAATGTATCATGTGTTTATATATAGCAGAAGGCTCAACAGAACGTCGCTCCCATCACAGACGGCAGAAGAGTTTCGATACCTTTGCCATGTTTGCCTACTTTAGGTTGTTATTTCACATTCCTGACATTCAAGAAACTCGAAATCAGCTGCAGGTTTTAATTTTAAGGACACTTCACAGTGCCTGTTTTTGGCCGGGTCAGCATGGGAGATAATTATTAATGCTAATCGGCGTGAATGATAAGAGCAACAACAATACCTCATGCAGCATAAACGAGCTGGCTTCCGAAAACTGCAACAGGTAGTATACTTGCTGAATTGATAAAAGGTATCAGGAAGTTGCACTTAGCCTCCCTCACCTGGATCTACGCTGTAGGACATGCCGGAGTAAACGTTAATAAACTAGCGGACAAACTGGCAGGTAATGCACCAATACATACTTCAAGAAGCATATACTTAGCTGATATCATCAACACTGCTGGGCTATGCTAGTGGATAATGACTAATTTCCTACGCTAATACGACCGCATGATCTTGGGGTAAGGCATGGTGAAGCACAACTATGCCACTTTAGAGATAAGGATAGGGGATTAATCAACTTCCGTTAGAACAGTCGGTACATTACAAGTACATTGGAGTGGCTGCTTTATCTGAGGACAGGAAAGCCTAATGAGAAGTGACATCGATTGTCATAACATAACATAACATACCTTAACGACGAGATGATTCCTGAGTTTATAATAATCATCGCAATCAAGTGCCTTGCGTAGGCGTTCATGCATCGCCTAAGATCTCGGTCTTCTGTGTTCTTGATCAATTCCACTGATGATATTCCTCTATGCCACTGCCTAAAGCCATCCAGCTAAATTTCTCTTGGTCTGCCCTTGCCTCTTCTACCATCATAATAAGTTATCTTAACAACTAATGAAAACACATGAGACTGTATGACTATAAACCGGATTATTTTACGTGCCTTAGTCATGCTGCAAAGTCTGGACACACGATAGTGTAGTCGAAACACGACGATGACGTTGATTCATTTTATTGTAGTAAAACAAAAATTAAGTCATTCAGTCGTTTTCCTAAGTTTTCCCTTGTGGTTGACACTCTCTCATGACTGCCTGCCATGACAGGATAACAACTAGACAATAGGTAAAGTTACCTGCTAGTCTGAATGTTACTTTCACTTGGGTATTGGCATCTGGATCACGTTTCACAAATGTTCACAGTCACTAGACGTTACGCTTTCAAAAGCTGCGTTCTTTCAGTTCACAATCAACGTTCACCTCAGTCACACCATCAAGCAACCGACTGACTGACTGACAGGACATCAAACAAGCGATAAACACCCGATGACACAATGTGCCACCATGTGGGTGGGGATCACCGTGGAGAGGTCCCAGAAACCGCATTTAGCTTTTAGGCCATATTTATGGCCAGGCTATATTGTGGCCCCCGGAAAGAGCCAGAGTAGGGCTTCAAATAACGAAAAATTCATCTTAAAAAGGACGAGATATTGAATAAAAAACATCAAGCAACCTGCCTCTCACACAGTTTAAACACAACTGACCCTACCCCGTCTCACCGTTCCAACGTTCGTTCCAGTCTCACGTTTTCCTTCACAAACGTTCACAGAACACCGGTTATTCTAAACACGCCTCTTTCACGTGTTCCTCATTTCCTGATCTTCTGACCTTGTCCCCTCAGTTGGAAAACTATCTGGGGTTTCCTGGAATATCCTATAATTACATCCATGCTATAATATAATAGACACAGGGAAGACCAAACAGCAGATGAAACGATGGCAAGAAAAACAGCTTCGACTAAATGAAAACCAACTTATACAATGCACTGGACAGAGGACCGACACAATCCTTACCTCTCTTTCTCACTCTCCAATGATAACTGAAGGCAGTGAAGAAGAAGTATAAAACATCAGCGACCGGGTCTTTAATTGGCTGGCCGGTAGACGACTTTGTCGCCAGTCGGGACAGTATTTTATGTCTGTCTCTTTTGATCGCATCACCACTGCAGGAGTCCTTTTCGGAGCTCTTGGGGGCGTGCAATGCCCTTTCATATGGCGCACATAACCTAGTCACAATTATAACCTAAATCTCCCCTTTAGGGAAGCTGGTTGAACGTGACGATGTTTGTACCTAGCTAATAAAGAGAGAAGAGTGCCAAGGATATAAGTTTAATAGACAAGAGCTTCTTTTTAACCGTGAGATTTTTGTAGAGTGTTGTCTATTTTGAATTAATGATATTCTTTACAACGTATGTCAACGTCGACTAATGCATTTTGTTTCCCCAGGTCAAAATGGCTGCATCAAACCAAATTGACCTTTTGTTAATCGGTAAAACTGGAAACGGAAAAAGTGCAACTGGAAACAGTATACTGAGGCGAAAAGCTTTCAAGAGCAGAGCAAGTACGAACTCTGTAACATCGACAGTTGACTATGAAGTATCTGAGTTCAACGGTCGAATCATTAAGGTTGTTGACGGCCCGGGTGTAGGGGACACTCGAATAAACACAGAGGCTGCTGTTAATCTCGTGATGACCACTATGGAATATGCAATCGCTGCCAATCCTCGAGGTTACCATGCATTTCTTTTGATTGTCAGATTTGGTGGCAGATTCTCAGAGGAGGATCAAGACACGATTGATTTCCTGAAGAAAATATTTGGTCAGGATTTTGTCAAAGAATTCTGCATACTGGTTTTGACATGTGGAGATAACTTTAGGTTTGAAAGTGAGGACAGTGGTAAAAGTTTTGAAGAGTGGTGCAATGAAGAACAAGGAAAGTTCAAAGATCTGCTGAAGGAGTGCGACAATCGAGTTGTGCTCTTCGACAACACAACTAAAGATCCAGAAAAGAAAAATAAACAGATTGAAAATCTTCTCAAAATTGTAGACAGTCTGAGCTCTAAAGGTCAAAGATACAACGATGACAATTTTGAGCGCGCTAGAGTACAGAGAAATACTATTATGGTCGAATTAAAGAAATCGGCCATTACAGAAGAAACAATGACGGAAACAAGTCTGATTATAATGAAGCTTCAAGAACTGCAGGCGACAGAAGACTTAAGAAGCAAAATTTATCCATTAGAGAAACTTCAAAGTAGAGTCGAATGCTTGCTAGAATCAGTTTCTTGTAAAGACCGCGCTACTGGAGCCCTCCATGACCTCATATCAACGGTCAAATCACTCAAGAGCAACATTAACGATGACATAAAATTATGCTACAGAATGATGGAGGAAAGAGAGAAGATGAAACGTCAAGAAGAAGAAATTCGCAGAAAGTATGAAGAGGAAATGCAGATCCTGAAAGAACAGTACGATCGGAAGGCAAAGGAAGACGCAAAGGTTCTGGAAGAACACAGACGGTATGAGAAAGAACAGGCAAGGCTAAAAGCAGAAATGGAAGAAAAAAATAAACGGGAGAAAGAAGCATTGGAAAAGAAACATAAAGAAGAACGTGACATAATGCAGACAAAAAGTGAAGAGTTAGAAAAAGAATATAGAAAAATGAAGGAGGAGAATGACAAGGGAATAGTTCGTCGAGTTTATGAAGGTGTTACATGGCCATTTAGGGCAGCGGGAAACTGGCTTTTTTCAAATTAGAGGTCTAGAGGTAACAGGCCTTTGGTGCACACTATAAAGTCACACTGGTATTATTCAAATGAACACAGGTGTCATATCTTTTACGACCTGTTTTTTTATTTGCAATTAATGCCCGTGACATTGGCGGTGATGAATAATTATAGACTTCTATCTCGCAAACTTACATTCCTTTCTAAAACAATACTTCATGATTTGTTATCATACTGTCTATCACATTCTCTTGTGCTCTCCTTCTGTGCCCCCCACCCCCACCCCTCATTGGTTCTCTCCGTTTCCACCCACCCCCTCCCTTTTTTTTCCACAGTCACGACAATTGTTCCCTATTTTAAATCATGACTAAAACTAGGAACGAAGTTAGATTAACCTTTAAGGAATCTTTACTCGTTGTATTTGACCTAGTATACTATCCGCTTGTAAGATATGTCTTATTACTTTTAATCTTAACTTGCCTGTTCAACAGCACTGATACATCCAATCTCATAACAACAGTATACTCGGAGCCTGTCATAATCTATTTTGGACATAGCAGAGGAAGACATACAGTTTAATATGTTGTGTAGACTAAACATGGAGCGTTTGCTAAAACACACGTGACTGCCTGCAACAGGGCCTCATAGGGGGAAGGGGAGGGCAACAGTGAGGAAAAAAGAGGGGGGGGGGGTTAATATCACATTTACATTTACACTAATGACCTAATTACAAAAGCATGAAAGAAACATTAGCAGGTGTGTCAGAATTACCAACATTCATTTTAAATTAATTATGCACCATTGGTTGATTAGAAACAAGTTGCCGTAGGCATTCTGACAAGCATCCCACTGCTTAGGCGAATACCATCTCGAAAAAAGAAAGAAAAAAAAAAGGATTGAGGTTTCCAAGCGAACGGAGTGTTTATTGTGAACACTACGTAGGCGTCTGTGTAAAATCGTTATCCTTTTAGAGCTTTTTACAGAGGCCATAATAAATGAAAATCACCTGGTGACAAGTCAGAACTGAAGACTGAATGTTCAAGAATTTCCTACTTCTTCCATGTCAACGTTTCCTACACAGTCTTTGCAACATGAGGACGCGCGTCATCATGCAATAACATCACATTGCAAGAAACCATGCCGCCTCGTCTGGTCTTGATGGCAGTATGCAGGTTGTCTACTGTTCCCAGTCAGTGGGTAGAGTTGATGTTGACATCACGTTCGTTAAAGTCTGCCAACAAAGGTCATTTGTTTAAAAAAAAATAATAATTGTGCTCAGCATAACCTGCCCAGCTGAAAATGTAATTTTAATATTTAATCTGAATTGTGGCGATTCGATATGCTTCTATTGCATAATGCCTCCCCTCTCTCTCTCTCTCTCTCTCTCTCTCTCTCTCTCTCTCTCTCTCTCTCTCTTGCTGTTCGGCTCAGTGTGGTGGCATTATGATTTATCGCCTACCATTACACGGGAGAGAAATTATCACCTTTCGCTCTCTTAGGCAGCTAATTTGGTTACCCTACCATTCAGTGCAATCCTCTTTTTTTTGATGGTCTGTCAATATCTGCGGTAGCTACTGTGAATACATCTTCCTATACCGCAGCTTCTTACAAACAACTTTTTCGAAAAGAGACCAGGACGAAAATTGTAAATTTTGACCATTTAGCTTTTCTGTATATAATTTAAAATTTTTGATAGCAGAAAACAGCTGTGCAAACAGAGTTTTTTAAATGCGTTTTAAAGCTCTTTTTCTACATTCTCGGAAGCATGTGTAACCTTTTTAAGTTTTCATGTTCATTACATATGATGTACAAAATGTGAAAAATTGTTTCACGACATGTAGTTGACCAAGATACTTTATTTAAGTTGCAAATTGTTCTGTTTTATGAGGCCCGTAAAAACAATTTATGGAACCCAGCATTAAAAAAAAAACAAAGTTTATCGATCCATTTGTTATGGATATGCTTTATTCAGCCAATCAGTGCATTCATCTCACACAAAGCTTTCAGTGCTGTTTTCTCTGAAGAACGTTTCAGCACATGATGTCAGGATAATTTCAAAACTATTGTGCCAGATTGAATAACATTTGAAGGACATTATCTACAATAGATTTTGTCCGAAAAGTGTAGAATTTAGGGTCCTTTCATTTGTGGTAAATAATTATTTTAAGTGTTGATTTTGCAAATAGAAAACTTTGAACATCAGCATAAGAAAATCTAACTTGGATATACAAAGTTAACATTTAGTTGCAATTTTAGACTAATTACATTTGAACAGCTACACAAACTGTTAGCAGCAGTAGTAGTAGTAGTAGTAGTAGTAGTACATTTACCCCCCCCCCCCCCCCGAACATAATACAAGCTATAAATAGCCACCAAGGGACACCATGCGGATGAGGATCACCCGTGGAAAGGTCCCGCAAACAGCGTTCAGCCATTAGGCCATATTTATGGCCGTGAGCCCCTGGCAAGAGCCAGGGTGGGGCTTCAGATCAACAGAAATTAGCATTCCACAAGGGGAAGACTATTGAACGGATTAGTTCTGCTGCATGCTTTGAGCAGATTTCAGTAGGCGTGACTTGTCTACTGCAATCAGTTTACTCATTACCAAATCATGTATTTTCATTAAATGGAAATAAGTAATAAATAAACAAGCATTCATTTATTTATCTGTGATTTAATGTTTGTATGATATACAAGAAAGGACAAAACAACATTTCAATAAAGATCTGACCATATTTAGAAATCTTTAACCATTAGTGAATACTTGCACAATTTATGATTTCCAGCGTGGTCCCTCCTTTACTAGAGTGTCCCATTTAATACATTAGGTTGAATGAATGAATGTCAACCCCACCAGGACCGCCACCGAGCGATAAACACCATTCAGATGAGAATCGCACAAGCGCAAGTCCCAGAATTTTGGTTCAACTGTTAGGTTATATTTGGGCCTCCGACAACACCCAGGATGGGACTTTGAGATAACGAACAATTGCATCACATACTGGGACTCCTGTGTATTGTATAACACATTGAATTATGGCACTAATGAATGTCTGCTTCGACAAAGGAAATTTACACTCCTTCATAAATGTTGGCGGTGATTTCTGTTGCAACATTATGCGCTTGGCCAGGCCGTAGAAGATGTATCGTTGTATCGTGAACTCACGTCATGTCCGAAACATTCTTGACTAGCCTATCTTTGTTGTCTTCGACAAACGTGTGTTACCTTACTTTGCCTGCATTCTTCGATGAATGTCAATTGGTAGACATCCTTCTAATGGGAAAAACACTGAATCACCGTTCTTTCAGCTTCTTTGGACGGATTTTGGAATCAACCTGGGCATTTTCCCAAACGGTCATAAACAGAACCTACGCATCATAAGACGATAAGTACTATGACATGATCATGGGCAGTGCGGCAAGAAAGGGTTTCAAATGAAAGCTCCTTATAGCAATGCATTCACTAAGCACTGCAGATTTTGTTACTAGTTGTATTCAAAATGTCAAATGTCACAACTTCCTGCTTTATCCCCCATTTACACTGGACAACAAAATTCGATTAACATCATGCAAGAAGTTAAAAAAAAACAAAAGCAATTTTTTTTTTTTAAATTTCTTTTTAAAATACAGGTTTTAAGGTGCTGAGCACAAATACGACAGTTTAAAAGCAAAACAGACTACCTTTCATGTGAAGTCAGAAGAAATAAACTTTCAATATATAAACTATTAAAAAATTATTTTATATTATACAACAACAATTAAACCACACCCAATAATTCACTGCGAACTGCATGATTTTAAAAGAGATCTGGTTTCACCAAAAACATTATAAAGCATTTATGTTTCAGATGGTAACAGTGAAAGCTCCTGCAGAAGATGTCAGATATTATGTGTATAGAAACCACAAAAAGCATCTTATTTCATTTGTTTTTTATTGTTTTCAAAGAAAGCGACCTTTCCTAATGCCTTAGCATTTTTATTTAAAGGCAGCCCTCAAGATCAATTGAAAACCGGAAAAGGCTTTTTGTTTATTTATCTAAGACATGACTTAAATCTTTTGTACTGAATATGCAGTCAATTCTAGTTGGCCATACAGTTCATGTGAAAAAATCTTATGAAAATAGTAAGGAACTTTTGAAATGTATAAATTACGATCATCATGAACGAAACACTAGAACTTTCTGCAGGAGTTAACAGCCAGAGAACGCGAAGAAGATGAATGGTTTATCAAAATGTTCTCTCCTCCATCCGTCTCCTTTTCCGCTGTCATATATTATTTCAGTGCCCTCCAACTGCACCCTAGGTTACTGCCCCCTGGCCTGTCTTTAGGGCCCCAAATTTGACTGAGGCACCTACAGTCCATGGACCAATCCCAGCATCCCTTCCCCACTTTCCCCACCGGGATTGGTAGCGCCCACTTTAGGAAATACTATGTTATACTGTCACGGTTTTATTATTGTTAATATTATTATTATTTAATTTTAATTGTGAATACGTCTGTTTTTGTGTGTGTTATATATTATTTGAAGCCATTAGTAGAAACCTACTTCTCTTTGGTTGTGGAGCAATAAATATTTTTTATTCAAGTTTGCATTTCTTGTAATTATTTACATGCTTATCGCTTATGGCTGTTTAGTCTTCTGCTTATGCGAGAACCATGGAAGCAGCTGTTATCGGTCCGATAATGCTTGAAGTATTTGTCAAACAGGCACGCAGGCGCGCGCGCGCGCGCACACACACACAACATAAAATCTAAAGTATTGACTATACACATTAGCACTCACACAATGGCGTTTAACAGTCAAGTTCCATTATTGCACTTTTCGCCCATATGCACCGGATTTCAGAAAATCCTGTTATAGTCGCGTTTGAAGACCTGCTTTATTATACACGCCATAGATCTACTCATGTCTCTCCCCAACCCCACAATTTTGCCCCCAAATATAGATTGGGGGCTTCTCGTTACCTGAACACTGTATAGGGGTGCTGACCCAAATAAACAAGTGTTCCCAGGATCCACTTTATAGAAAA